CACAAATTAGCATGTACATAATCTAAAGCTTCATTAGAATTATGTCTTGCATTTTAAATTTTAAGTCTCCTTGCTTTGTAAAATACACAATGCTCACAAAAGTCAATCTCCTTGGGCTTCAAGCTCCCAAATGCACCTTGTTGTGCAACTCCTCCATTCCTTCTTGGCTAACATGTCCCAACCTTTGGTGCCATAACATAGTCTCATCCACTTGAGAACTCACTAAGCTAGCTTCCCACCAATCAATGTTTTACCTTGCAATGTATATACACCATTCATCCTCCCACCTTAGAATATAAGTTAAACCCAGCCCACCTTGAGACTTCCTCCATCACACTTAAATGAGTAGCCAATTTTGTCAAATTGTCCCAAAGAAATCAGATTTCTTTTAAGTTCAAGTACACATCTCACTTGCTTGAGAATCCTCTCCAATCTGTCATGGAGCTTCAACTGAATCTTGCCTTGCCCATGAATCTTGCATGATTTATTTTTTCCTAATAACACCAAACCTCCTTCCTTCTCTTCCAACTCTTTAAACACCCACAGTTTGGACACATGTGGTAAGAGCACCCGGAATCAAGTATCCACTCCTTGTTAAGCTCGATATTTGAGGTTAAAAGCGCATATGAACTTACATACCCTTCCTTCACACATGAGGCCTCTCCGCTACTCTTTTCTTTGTCTTGGTGTTTGTTCTTCTATTTTGAGCATTACCTTTTGAAGTGGCTTTCCTTGTGGCAAAAGAAGCACTTCACCTTGCCTTCACACTTGGATCTACCATAGTTCTTAGCATTGGACTCCCACTTCTTGGGTCTACGTCTCACGGCAAGGGCATAAACCACCCCTTCATGCTTCACCTCAACCCCTTTTTGAATCTCCTTGGAGTTGAGTGCAACCATAACTTCAATCATAGCAAGTCTCCTTCCCATACAATAAGGTGTCCAGTAAATGCTCAAACCTAGAAGGTAATAAGCTTAGTAGAATGATTGCTTGACATTCATCTTCAATCTTCACTCCTATGTTTTTCAAATCCAAGATAATCTAGTTAAATTCATCTAAAGTTTATTCACAGGCTTGGAATCATCCATTAGCAAGGTGTACAACTTCTTCTTGAGATAAAGCCTATTGGCTATAGAGATTTTGAGATAGAGAGATCTCAATTTTGCCCAAATCTCTACAGTCTTTCCTTCACTAGTAACCTCCCTTAGAACTTCATCTCCTAGGCTCAAAAGGATTGTAATATATGCCTTAATAAGCACATTCTTGCGCAATCTTTATTTTATCCCCAAGATCCCTTCCTCTGATCAGGTTGTATCAAGACCTTAATGGACTAAAAAGAGCCCTCATCTTCAACCTCCACAGGCTAAAATCATTAAGACCTTTGAATTTCTCAATTCGAAGCTTAGCCATGAACATCTTTCCTTTAAGAATGTTGTGGAAACTCTTCAGTCCAGTTGTTGTCCACATAAAACATCCCATAAAAGTTTTCCACTGTCGGTCACCATCTTCTCCTCCACCTGCTATCCACAAAAAACAGCCTGGAAAAGCTTCCACCACCAGTCACCTTCTTCTCCACCTGTTGTCCACAAAGAACAAACAAGAAAAGCTTCCACTGCCAGTCAGCTTCCTGTCCTCCACCTGTTGTCTACAAAGAACAACATGGAAAAGCTTTCACCACCGATCACCTTCTTCTCCTCCACCTCTTAGCTAGAATTTTCTTTTCTCGATTTAAAAAAACACCTTCCTCCTTCCCCTTGATCTTTCTTGACCAAGCTCTAATATCAATTGTTGAAAACCTTGAAGGAAGAGATCTTAAATTCCTACCTTGCTATTTTGAATTGAATCCACCACTGATTCCTTTCCTTCTTGTCCAGCAACAGCACCTTCCTCCTTCACCTCCGATCCCACTTGGCAGTTGCACCTCCACCACAACCTTCTTGCTTCTCTTACAGGAGTGAGAGCCAACAACTCTCTGGCTACTACAACCGAGAGAGAGAGAGAGAGAGAGAGAGAGGATAACACATGGTTTCAGAAGAAAATAGAACTGATTCTATTCTACAAATCACTCATATTTATACTAAAAAATCTAAAGTTGCAAAAAGTATAGTAGCCTAAAAACAAAGACTTAAAATAAAAAACAGAATTAACATGTCAAATAAGAATCAACATCTAATATTCTGAATTCTATTTCAATACTAGTCTGAGCAACAACATACTATTTATTTCCTCCACATAACTAGATTTTTTCATATAAATCAGTAATAACTCAATGTGATTTACAAACTATTATAGATCTCGCTCAATCAACATCAATGAAGTTATCTATACCTATGTTGGTCCACTTTTAAAGAAAATCCATTTCCATGTGCCTTTTGGAGAAACCTTAATATCATATATGCAGAAACAATGTGCCCTTTATGTGGTTATTCATAAATTACCTAACAACACTTACAGGAAAGTAAATATCAATTCTAATATGAGATAGGTGGCTAATTTTTCCTACTAACCATTAGTGCATTTCTTTGTCAACCGAGATACATAATATTCCTTAGTCCCAACTGCGCTTCACGGATACATTGATGTATTTGATGGTTTATACCCAAGCGTATAAATTTTCATTAGTAAATTCAAGATATATTTCTATTGCGATATGGATATTCCTTTGCTTGATCTAATCATTTCTATGCCTAAGAAATATTTTAATAAGCCAAGGTCCTTTTCAAATTCTTTAGCTAGGGCCTCTTAAACCTATTTATTTTTTCTTCATAATTTCCAATCAAATAATATCATCAACATCTACAATCAAGACAAAATTTTAACTTCATATGATTTCTTGAAAAATGAAGTGTAACCAAACTGTCCATGAGAGAAGTCATGCCTTATAATCACCATTGTGAATCTGTCAAACCAAGCCCTTAATAAATATTTTAAGCCACATAGAGACTTCTTGAGTTCATAGACTTAGTTCGAATTGCTTTTACTATCAAATATAGTAGGAATTGCCATATAGACTTCATCTTCTAAATTTCCATTCATAGTGGTTATTTTTTCATCGAATTGATGAAATGGTTAATCCAAATTAGCAACAAAAGGAAAAAAATTAACTTGAGAATGCTCATCTTAGCAATCAGGAAAAATGTTTCTTGGTAATCAATACTGCAGGCTTGGGTGAAACTTTTTTCCACCAATCTTATTTTATATCCGTCAAC